TGAATGGAGAAGGAGCGTATGCACGGACTGCATGACTTCCGGCTTGCTTTGAGCACTGATCGTTGCCAGGCTCTGAAGAGTGCTGTGGCGTTGCTGAGTGTATTTTCCAGAGGCACCAGTCGTGCAATACACAGGCTCGACCTTTGTGTCATTTGCAAGTGCTCAGGTTAAAGGGGCTCCTGCCGCCTCTGAGTCCTGCCTGCACAGCATAACCTGTCACCAGGAGGTAAGCCGAGCTCACACAAACACAACTGCCTCCGGGTCCCTCAACTTATTGGTTTTGGCATCAGTGTAAATAATGCAGCATACTGCCGTGAGCAGGCGGGCATTCTTGAAACAGCGAGCCACCCTTCAGGAAAGCAGCTCAGAGCAAGCAGCTGCCATCAAGAGACCTTTGAGTCACGCTTGCCACGAACAAGCATGAAGCCAGATCAGCCGGAACTAAGGAGACAAAACAAATGGTTTGGTGCGACGTGCGTGGGGCAAGTGCAGAAGACCGTGCCGGCGCGAAAAGAGCAATATAAAGAAGCCTCGTGCTGGCGCACGCAAAGGTTTACGTCCCTGAAAATCCCCAACGCACAGATCAATGACAATGTTGACATGTCCACTGCGCACCTCCGCACCTTGGACAAGATGCGCTTGCAGTGCATTGTTGCAGGTAGTTGTTGAGCTCGAAGTCCAGACGCATCAGACGCATTCCGGGCTTAGGATAGATCAGCAGCTGAGCCAACAGCCCGCCGTACTGCTCAACCCGCTTTCAGCGTCGTGCTGGCATGTCTGCATGCCAGCGCGCCTGCGGCAAGCTATGGCAGAAGCACCATGTAAATGCCTTGTTCTGCGCAGCTTCTCTTTGCGAAGCAATCGTCAGAAGCTTGTTGCCTGGCGCAGTGAATTGTAGCTTCGGCCAGCACCTATATACAAAATATAGAACGTATTTTGGAAAAAACACGACTCGTTTGCACCTAGGACGTACGGGAAGCTTCCTGTGAAACAACTTCATACTCAGAACACTGTATTGAGGGTTGATTGCATTTTCTGACTTGCTTTGTGTGGCGGGGGGTAGCTGTTCAGAATGCTTAGCCCCCCTCCCCCAGAGGTCAGATGAAAGTCCGCAACTCTGGGATGCACCTGGTGCGTGCCATCGCACATCGGCTACAAAACGCCATCCCCAAATTATTCAAACTCTGAAGAAATCAAGACCTCCTACACGGGCGACCTGGCCAAGGCTCCCAATCATCAAAAGATCATGGCAAACCGAATTAGCACGCATTGCAGAGCTTAGGTGCCTTGCAAGACCCGCCAACCAAAGAGGCAGGACTGATTGGAGAGGTGACTTTGGTAGTGGCTGCTCCTTGTTCAGTCTCGCCAGGAGCTGGAAACTTTGGCCATTCAGAAAGCTGACCCAGAGGCTGGCTTGAAACCTAGTCCTACACGTTGCGCCTCGCTGTGAGGCGCAAATGCAGCGCCTGCTAGATGCGCTTGGCACAGCAAGACCTCAAGAAGAAGGTGCCCCGTCCTCCGATTTCCGTGCTTGTGTGGCCCTTCTGTTGGACATGTACTTGTTGGTGAGGAAATCTTTCTTTTTGCTGAGTGTGGGAGGCCTCAATGATGAAGACGCTTACGCCGGGATGGCACTGCAGCAGGCACATCCTACTCTCTGCGTGTCACATGTGAACAGGCTGCTCATGGCTTGTTTTGCGCAGACCTCACTTGAGTATTTTTTGCAGACAACTCCCAATCTCCATTTTTAAATCGGCTTTGTGCCTTTTTTCAACAGAATGCAGGCAAGCCATAATGTGTGGTCACCCATGCGAGCAGGCAGAGGCAAATGCAAGGCTCATCGCCAAGCTCAAGGAAGCCGAGCAGGAGAGAAGGGTGAAGTGTGCTATTTGCATGAATCGCAGAGCCAGTTTTGCGCCCTTTTGTGTTCTTCTTTGTTTCTTTCTTTCTTTCCTTCTTTCTTGCGTTCTTTCTTTCTTATTTTAACCCTAAACCTACCCCTGCCCTAAACGCTAAACCAACCCTAAACCAACCATTTGTCAATTTGTCCACCCTTAAGCAACCCAAAAAGCCACCGTGAACCAACCCTAAACCAAGCATCGACCCGGCCCTAAGCCAACCCCAAAGCCACCAATCAACCCTCAACACACCATAGACCCACCCCACTCTAAACCCATCTTCACCCACCCCAAACCAACCAGAAACCCAGCCCTAAACCAGCCTGAAACCCACACTCAACCAAA